TCTGTAAAGATATACAAATCGTTCCACAAACAATCTGTGGACATTAGTAGTATAAAAACACGTTTAATTTCAGTGCAGATTAATTAATAAAATGAAAGATTTGATCCACATCAAAAATGAACATAATTTTACTGCTGATTCGTCTCATTAGTTTTGAGAATTTAACAGAATTTCACGATTTAATGCTTGTGCTATCACCTTCAATAGTCATTCCCTCGGAAGTATTGCAATTTCAATCAATGAGAAAACGCTGGTACCGATTATCAAACACTGGAAAAAAATATACAATTCCACATTGCATAGTTTAAATAACATAGCGATATCCTGTGTCTTATGGCTAGTAAAAACTGATGTCATCTCTGATTATGAATGCATCTTATACTTCAAAATATCATTAATTATATACCACTAATTCATTCAAAAACTCCGCCTGTAGCTCTTCTAGCGAAATTCTGAAGTTGAACTTATCCATGTTATGATTTGACAATGTTGAACGTCACCTCGATCGAGTCATAAATAGTACAGATTACCGACAAACAACTAACATTAAAAAACGCTATACATAAAGGTTAAGTAAAATTATATGTCTTAATTAAGGTGATAAGTTTCCATAAATAAGATAAAATTGTATGTAAAAGTAAGTTGATGCAAAATAGGAATTGTTGTGTCGCAGTTGCCTGTAGCTCTTCCAGAGTTACTGCCGGTCCCAAGCCCGGGTAAAGGAGGAGGGTTGGGCATCGGGTTAGCGTCCCCATCCCGTAGAAACCTAACTCGCTAAAAAAACAATGGAAGATGTGAAAACCAGGAGAGGAGAGGACATAGCTTCAGATCATCACCTGGTTGTGGCCAAATTGAAACTGAAGCTAAAGAAGAACTGGACAACTGGACAAACAGCACCACAAAGGTTCAATACAGCCTTCCTTCGAGATACTGACAAACTCAATGAATTCAAGATAGCTCTCAACAACAGGTTCCAAGCCTTACAGGATCTACTGAAGGAAGAAGAAACTACTATGGAGGATAGCTGGAAAGGTATCAAAGAAACATTAACTTCAACGTGTCAACAGGTTCTGGGCCCCAAGAAGCATCATCACAAGGAATGGATCTCTACAGAAACACTGGACAGGATCAAAGAAAGAAAGAACAAGAAGACAGCAATTAACAACAGTCGAACAAGAGCAGAGAAAGTCCAAGCACAAGCAGAGTACATAGAAGCAAACAAACAAGTGAAGAAGAGCATTAGAGCTGATAAGCAAAAATACGTGGAAGAACTAGCAACGACGGCGGAAAAAGCTGCAAGAGAAGGAAATATGAGACAGCTTTACGATACGACGAAGCTTGCAGGGAAATACAGTAAACCAGAGAGACCAGTCAAAGACAAAGAAGGGAGACCAATCACTGAGATTCAACAAAAGCGCAACAGATGGGCAGAGTACTTGGAGGAACTCTTGAACAGGCCGGCCCCAATGAATCCACCGGACATCGAAGCAGTACACACAGATCTTCCTATAAATGTCAATCCACCAACGACAGAAGAAATCAGAATGGCTGTCAGACAAATCAAGAGCGGGAAAGCAGCTGAAGCGCTGAAGTCAGACATCGAAGTAACTACAAGCATGCTTCATCTTCTATTCAAGAGGATTTGGGAGGAGGAACAAGTGCCGATGGACTGGAAAAAAGGACACCTCATCAAGATTCCAAAGAAAGGAGATCTGAGCAAGTGTGAAAACTACAGAGGCATTACACTACTGTCAATACCGAGTAAAGTCTTCAACAGAGTGTTACTGAACAGGATGAAAGACGCAGTTGACGCTCAACTTCGAGATCAACAAGCTGGATTCCGTAAGGACCGGTCGTGCACAGACCAGATTGCGACACTACGGATCATCGTCGAACAATCAATTGAGTGGAACTCATCACTCTACATCAACTTCATTGATTATGAGAAGGCATTTGACAGTGTAGATAGGAGGACGTTATGGAAACTTCTTCGACACTACGGAGTTCCTGAGAACATTATCCGGAACTCATACGACGGACTACAGTGCAAAGTAGTGCATGGAGGACAGCTGACAGACGCATTCCAAGTAAGAACCGGAGTAAGACAAGGCTGTCTACTCTCTCCCTTCCTGTTTCTTCTGGTGGTCGACTGGATTATGAAGACCTCGACATCTGAGGGAAACCACGACATACGATGGACAGCTCAGAACCAATTAGACGACTTGGACTTCGCAGATGACCTAGCCCTCCTATCACATACACACGAACAAATATACAATTCCACATTGCATAGTTTAAATAACATAGCGATATTCTGTGTCTTATGGCTAGTAAAAACTGATGTCATCTCTGATTATGAATGCATCTTATACTTCAAAATATCATTAATTATATACCACTAATTCATTCAAACTAATCTACAAAACACTCTTTCTAGCATCGTATACCATTGCTTTTTTCCTGAAGGATTTACCTTTTGTATCAATCTGAACATCCTTGTAAATTGGTGTGCACTCTGTAACCATTCTCAGGATATGCATATACATACATATATATTATAAATAAATGCATAATTGTGTTCGTGCGTAAGTCGTTATGAAGTTCACATCGAGATCTTGTAGCGAACGTGAAAAAAGAAAACACTACTTGTTTGCATTAGACTATTGAACCATGTCCTTAATATTAGGCAAGCAATTCATTTGGAGCTGTTCAGTAATTTCACGAGGAATCAATTTTTGATCAATGTATCACAGGTTTAAACTTCATTTCCATTAATTGTCACTATGAATTCCGGATTACATTCCATAATTTACTTGTCAGAATTACTGACTGATGCATGAGTGATACTTACCAATAATGTTCTGCTAATTAATTTCATTTTATTAGAAAACTAATGTAGTGTATTTTTGTTTCTGTATACCACTCCTGAAACATTTTACGAGCACAGTTTCTTAAAACAGACTGAGTACTTACAACCGATTCAAGCATTTTAGAATTATAATGTAAATATCGGGAAATGTACGGAATAAAGTCAATTAATTTCATAAATTTCCCTCTTGGTTTTGTACAGAAATGGTTTTATTCTCACAATTGTTAAAAGCATGGTGAATGAATGCGAAATATTAGATAAGATGAAATACATTGAATTGTCAAAAATCCCTTATAATAAACAATGAAAAACAACATATTTCCTAGACTACTTACCCAAATCTTTGTCAGTCGGAGGATGTGGACGAGCGTTCGGAAATCGAGGTATATTTAGATAGTTACCAACAAATGAGTTTTTCTTTTGTTTATTTACTTACTTCTTTATCTAGATACATAAAAATTGGTACAAGGATGCACCAAATAGATATGTGCCACATAAATCATTCGATTTGTGTGAGGGCCGAGTTACTGCCCGGGTGTCCAGACCGAAGCAAGTGCTATTCTTAAGGGGCCACGCCAGGAGAGTTCGACCTGAAAGTCTGATCCACAAGGTAGTAGAGCAACGTAAGGACATGCAGTCAAATGTTAGCCGGTGACCGACAATAGGTTCATACGCCATTTGTTCCTTCAGGATACTGGGACCCATGGTTTGGAACCAGGGTTTTTTAACTCTTCTAGGAGAACTCTCCGTGTCCACTAACTCGGTTAACGTACCGGACATTCGCTTTTCGTCCTCTCAATTTTGTAAACAACACACGCCGTGAGAAGACAGTGAGTAGGATTTCCCTGGTAGTGATTGTATGCACATGGTTATGTCAGAGCATTTCGAGAGGGTATGCTGACTCTCTCCACTCTCAGCCGTACCAGGGCATTTTGAGACTTATATTGATATTTTAGTTGATTATGACTTGGTGCACGTAGTAAGATTCGATTATTTTCCACATATTTTTGATCAGGTAAATAGGCAGAATCTGCATGCAACTTACCATGGTCAAGTTTATCTATGTTTATCCACATAATGAATAGGAGTCCAAAACACACTAATCCCAAAGGCGACAGTTTATTTTTTCGCCAGAATATATGATGCAAAAGCCTCGTGCGCATTCTGTTCTACAGAATAATCGTGCCAGTGGATCTACGAAAGTCCCCTCTGAAACCACCTTTAAGATAGCGAAATGCAACAGAAACAGTGAAGAAAGCAATGAAAGCTAGACCTGATGTGTCTCTCGATGATAGAATAAAAAGGAAAAAAGCACTAGCTGAACTAGAAATCCGTAGAGAAAATTGTGAGGAAAATGTCTGGTTAGTGGGTTTTCGGATGGTTAGCTCTTGGAAGCGAATGCTACCAAGGCCTGTGTGGATAGGCCGTTCTACCTAGGACTTTTATATGCCAACGCTCGTAGCCTAAGAAATAAGTTCTATGAACTGGAAGTATTTGTGGACAGATTAAGGCCACTCATTGTAGCAGTGACAGAAACTTCGTTACTTCATGACTTAGACATTACTCCAGAATTATCCGGATACCATTACCTAAGGAGTGTTAGACATAGATGTAGAAAAGGAGGTGGTGTTTTGTTATATATAGCCAATAATATAAATATCCGCTCCTCTGCTGGCGAATCCCATGACTGTGGTACTTGTGAAGTCATAAGCTGTAAATTGGCTATCGGATGTAGTACATTTATGCTCGGTGTCATCTATCGCAGCCCAATCTGCTTAGCTGATGACTTTATTTAAGAGCACATTCATCTTTGGAGTGCGAATACCAGATGCTTAATAATAGGAGACTTTAATGCAGCTGACATTAGTTGAACTGAGATGACCACTGAAAGATCTATAAACTCCTTTGTTAGTAGGTTCCTGATAACAATAATGGAGCATGCATTAGTGCAGCATGTATCCAAACCTACAAGTTTTGGTGCTAACCAAGGTTCTTCTCTGTTGGACTTGGTAGTCACTCATGATACTAGAGATATTGCGGAATTAAATGTTCTCCCACCGTTAGTGAACAGTGATCACGCTGTGTTGTTATTCTCGTTTAGAACTAGGGACATGTTATACGATCAGGTCACACCCCGCCCGAATATATTGTGCGGTACGTTTGAAGTTTGCGTTACGACAACACTATCTAATATATATTGATTGTATATAGTTGAGTCCTAGTTTATAACTCATACATAGATTTAGAATTCATACTTTAAGCAATATGGGTCGACTGTCAAAAAAACGAGCATGGAAAAGCCCTAACTCTTCAGATATTAACAATTCTGTTATTACCTATTCTTCTTGCTCCGCTACTCCTTTTGTATCTGATAATGTTGGGACTGGTCTTACACCACACGTGCTGCTGGATGACTCTGTCTCTAATTTAGTAATGAATTCCACCTCGAGATCAAAAAGCATCGATGATATGAAGAGTGAATTAAACAATCTGTTTAAGCAACTAAGCGACATGCGTTCTAAAGTCGAGTCACTTTCTAGCTCTTTATCAAAGCACGAAGATCTGAAGCAAGAACTAAAGACACTATCACCCTTAAAACTGCTTTTGTCAAAAGACATCGTTCCTGCGGAACTTGATGACATTATAAAAGCAGAATCTGTTATCGATTTTATCGCTAGTGAAGTTACCAAGCGAATAGTCTCTCGTAATAACGTGATTGTCTATAATATACCTGACAAAGTCTCCATTAAAACTGTAAGGAATTCGATATTAAAAGCATCTAACCTTCAAGACAGTCCATGCCAATGCATCCGACTTACTAAGAAGCACCAGAAATACTCGTGCCCGGTCTTGTTCAGGTTTGATTCTCATATATTAGCTAGACAGTTAAAAGAATCTGAGCGGCTGATATGCGCGCTTACGAAGTTTAGAAACACTCGCATAGTCTCAGATAAGACCACCAATCAAAGACTTACGCAAAAGCGTACCGTGAACGATAATAAAGATGTTGAGATCATAAAAAATCATGATGCATCAGCTGCTGGATCCACTGATACTGATACTCTATCTCATGTTCTCCAGTACTCTGATCTGCCAACGAAGAGTGCTAACTTACCTATCATGCCTGTAGTGATATCTGATAACCAATGTACATCTACTGATCACACTAATCCGATAGTATTCAATTTACCATTAGAAGCCCATAAGAAAATACCTAGTCCTAATGCGACAGCTCTTAAAAACACTGTCAAGATTAAAAAGTCTATGCCACGTAAGAAGAATGTTTGTACAACGCTAGGTCGATCTGCAATAAAAAGACGGATTTAGCCCTGTTTGTATCCATATATCAACCATCACTTATTATGATATCTGAAGCATGGACTAACAGTAATATTTCCGACCTAAGTATATCTCTTGACAACTATTTACTATATAGAAGTGATAGATTGAAGGGACGAAGCGGAGGATGCCTGATTTACGCTCACTCTAGCCTAAACTCACTACTATGTGATATGCCTGAACTAAACAAACTGAAGGATTCGGTGTGGATTGTATTAAAGCCGTCAAATTCCGTTACCTTACTGTTCGGCTGTGTTTACCGTCAACCCAACGCACCAATAGATGACATAGCAATACTATCGGAGGTATTCACACTAGCATCATCTTTTCCATTCACAGGCAAGCTTATTTGTGGTGACTTCAACTTGCCCGAAATTTCTTGGTTCCCAATCAGGGCGCCGAAGCGTTATGAATCATTTATAGAATGTCTAGAGCTCGGACAATGGACTCAGTATGTCAATGGCCCTACCAGACATCAAAATATCTTGGACTTAGTCTTTACCAGTGGCGTCACCCCCAATACTGTGTATATTGGAAATACGTTTCCAGGTAGTGATCATAACATTGTCATATGCAGCCTTAATATAAAAACCACAACCGGTAGACGTAAAACCGCAACACTTCGTAGAAACTATCGCAAGGTTGATTGGAATAACTTCCACAATCACCTAAGAAGCACTGATTGGGGAACTTTCTTTACTGCAAACAATACCGACACACTAACCAATATATTTTATCTCAACATCAGAAGTATCATCAACAAAATCGCACCTTTAGAATACTGTAGACCTACGGTCTCCAAAGATCTTTATATACCGGTCGGTACACGAAGACGTCTTCAAAGACATTGTACTCGATTCCATAACCTTAATGACTTCTCCTCTTTGGTGACGATGACTGAAATAATTATCCGAACAGAGGCATTAAGTACACAAAAAGCAGTCGCACAGGAAAAACGTGCAGTCGAACTTAACAATAACTTCTCTTCACTCACCATACTCCTTCAAAATAAACTTAAACGTTCCAAATCGAGAGGGAGCGTATTCATTAAAGACAAACAAGTATACGAAGACCCTAAACTTGTTGCGGAACTATTTAGTGAACACTTTTGTTGCTCACTAACTAACGAAAAACCACTAAACGATTCAGAACCAATCCCAGTACCTCCTTATGAAATTACTAATGTAAACTTTAATGTACAAAATATCTCTAAGGCAATCAGTACATTGAAACACTCATACACTGATGGACCAGATGGTATTCCAGCTAGCATGCTAAAACGTGGAGGGGATGATATGTGTGTTTTGCTTCTCAAGCTATTTGCGATATCACTCTCTACAGCGTGTTATCCTACTGCCTGGAAAACTACACATATCATTCCCAAAATTAAAACAGGACCTGAAGCAAATATTGACAATTACCGACCCATAAACATAACTTCAGTGGTATCTAGAGTGATGGAAAAAGTAGTTAAGGCGGCTGTAGTCCAACATCTACTTGCTAATAGTCTCATCTCGACCTCCCAGCATGGATTTCTTAGGTCAAGATCATGCGATACATGCCTAGTAGACTACCTGAATGATATAACTCTGAAAAGAGACAACGGACTACTTGTATCAGTCCTCTTCTTAGACTTTAAAAAAGCCTTTGATAAGGTCCCACATAAAAGGCTTCTCGTCAAACTGAAGTCCTTCGGAATAAACGACCCACTGTACTCATGGTTTGCTTCGTTCTTAACAGAACGTAAACAGATGGTAAAGTACAATGACTGTCTCTCATCACCTAAACCCATAACTAGTGGAGTCATCCAGGGAAGCGTATTAGGCCCACTCTTGTTTCTTATGTATATAAACGATATATGTAACACTATAACATTTGGGAAACCATACTTATATGCTGATGATCTCAAGATAGTATACAGTTATAAGCCTGAGACCCTGAACGAAAGTGTACCCCTGATCCAAAATGACCTCAATAACTTAACTATCTGGAGTGAAAAATGGCAATTACCATTTAACCTCAACAAGTGCGGGATCATGCAGTTTGGAAAGCATCCCTATGAACTGCAACTTGATTTAAATAAAAGTAGAGTCCAGACACTCAAATCAGTACACGATCTAGGTATTAATTACACAAGAAGTCTGAACTTTGAAGAACATGCATCATCTATTATTTCTAAATGTAGACGGCAAATCGGTTTCATAATGAGAAATTTCTTCACAACAGAGGCTAAGCTTACTCTCTATAAAATATGTGTACGACCTTCCCTGGAGTACTGCTCTTTTATCTTCTCTAACATGAATACCACCGACAAGATAAGAGTAGAAGACGTTCAAAAACGCTTCACACGCCAACTGCTAGGAAGTAACTCTAATGCCGACTACACAGATAGATGTAAGCACCTCTATTTAGAACCTTTATGGCACCGTAGGGTAAAGAATAATTTAATATTTCTCTACAAAGCGATATATGGACTCTCATTTCTAACCTCCTGCCCAACTATGATTCACGACCCAGCCTATAGACTAAGAAACAACGCATATAAACTACACACCGCAAAACACCAAAAACAAGTGCGTTGTAAGTTTTCTACAGTGCGTTATAGTTTATTGTGGAACAGGTTGCCATTGCCTATCCGTAACTGTGACACATTTACCAGATTCAAAAGGCTAATAACCCTGTTTCTAGGCTCTAAAGAGCTTCAATCTTTCCTTGAACTCCCGCCCACCAATGAAGCACTTTATTATGGACCGCCTAATTTCTAGACTGAACAAGAATATAACGAGCCCAACTATTATTAATATGAATACAACGAAATTATAGGACATACGGTTTGCCGTTTCCTATTATTCATTGTGCATTAATCCAGGCCTAATGCTCCTAACCCTCACTTTCAGTTCCCAAATCCCTCTACTGGTTAAATAAACATTTTTCTTCCTAAGTGTCATGTCTTTTTTTTTCTTCTATTGCAAGTAGACAGATAACTCAGTAATCTTATGGATGCTGATCTGCTAAGGCCGATCATACGAAGCTCAAAATTGATCAGAAAATCTTGTGAGTTGCTCTGTGTTTTATTTTTCTTACCCTAAAAATTCTGCAATTTTATACTCTTTCATATCATTTGATTTGCTACTAGTCCTACTATCTTTAAACCACATATAATCTAACCTGTTTTTTTTTCTATCTTTCACCATTAGTTATCTTCATAGCAGTGTGATATACTAAATGGACATCTAACCCATAATACGAACGCTTTAACTACATGATTAGCTTGTAACATGGAACTAGTAGAGACAGTGTATTCCAACCATGTGCTTGGATTAAAGCAGTATGCATACATACCGCAAATGTAAGAGAGCCTAACATCACAAAAGGAGGGAGGGTGGCGTTACTGACCAGCAAACATGATGGCGAGGAGATAACCTCAATCCACCCATGTCTGTAGGGCAGAACATTTTGTTAAATTACGGCTCCTTATGGTCTATTGGAATGTCACGAACTAGTGGTATTGATGATGACTTATCATGCAAAATACCTCTTTAAATCGTGTTTAGAATGTTAAATTGGTTTAACTTCCTACCCAGTAATCCTATTACAAGCAAACTAGACAATTCGATAAAAAAAACGAAGCCTACTCAAGACCCTATAAAATCTAAAAAAGGCTCCAATAGCGTCGACAAAAAAAAGGGAGACAGCCATTTGTGTATCGTAACACTGCTTTTAGCACTATATTTTATAACTACATATTCTCATACTCTCAGTTTCTTTCTGAACCACCTCCATTTGTCAGTTGATTATTCACTCATACCTTGTCTACAGTTATTTCCTTTAACCTATTAGGATGTTCCTGCTTACTAAAATACTTTAATGAAAGAGAATCACACTGAGTAGTCATACCTCAACCACTACTTCATGAACATTGTCTTCTCTGCTTCTCGTCCTTTTTTTTTATTTTCTTGAACCGTTTTTCAGCCCCCTTGAGATACGGAACGAGTGATCCCGTCCTGCACCATCTTTAAAGACTCAAATATTCCAAAGGGATATAAGATTGCGATTTCTAGAAGCCCTCAAATGCACATGAATCTAGTATCGACCGTCAGTTGCACGTCGCAACGCAACTCTCATGAAGCGCGCTAACTGTGATACTGACTAAAACCATTCTACATTCATATCTTATAAATTATAGACCAAGCTGATTAATTTACTACAGTTGGAAATTGTATCATTTGTAACAATTTGATCTTGCCTGTAAACTGGCATGACTCATGTAACAAAATGTTATTTGAGAATAAATTATTATTATTATTATTATTATTACAGAACCTTCTGGTTCTAGACCCAATTATAAAAGTATTATGATGGCCCTACTAAATACAAATAAGACTATACTTCCAGACACCATGCTGTACCCAACGCATCGTAGGGGAGGATATAAGGGCAGACCTGGTTCAAATGTCTCACAAGACGGCCACTTCAATCATTATGTAAGTAGGCCTAATACTGGACAGACCACAGTAAACCAACGAGCCTCACGAGTACCCTCAAACGTTTTAAATGATAAACCTGTAAGACGTAACCTCTCTCAACACTTTCCCATTAGGCATGATGGATTACTAGGTTACCCAACATCAAACGTTTTAAATAATATACCAGTAGCACGTAACTTTTCTCAACACTTTCCCATTGAGCAAGATGGATTACTGGGCTACTCACCATCAAACCAAGTTTGTCTTAACTGTCCGCCTAGTCAAGTTCAACAAATTAATCCGCTTTATCAAAATAATGATTTTTTTGGCCTTCAGAAATCCCTGGTCCCACTAGCACTACAATTTGCTCAAGCGATCGCCCATGTGATCAGTCAAACATAATAAACCACAGTCTATGCAAATCCAAAATACACGACATCAATAGGGAAGCTCTCGGTTTTTTTACACTCCATACGCCCTTTCTAAATCTATTACTTATCAATGCACGTTCACTTCTGAACAAAATTTCAGCCTTGGGAACATTAGCCTTTCTATCCAAGCCTTCTTTCATACTTATCACTGTAACATGGTGCTCTCATGCAGTATCTGATTCAGAATTAAATATCCAAAACTATAGACTCTATCGCTGTGACAGAGAAACTAAGCGAGGAGGTGGTTGTATTATATATGCTTTGGATACCCTAACAACTAATAGAGTTGAAGATAGTGTCCTGAATAGTTTACCAGAATCAGTCTGGATATCTGTCAACACCCTGAATCATAGTCTACTCCTTGGATGTATATACAGAGCTCCTGAGATCTCGAATAATAGGAATAATCTTATTATCAATGCATTCATACATGCATCTGCTCTAAACTTTAATGCTAAGGTTATCACTGGGGATTTCAATTATCCTGGGATTAACTGGAGTACCGGTAGCTGTCAGTCATGTAATGAGGAGTTCTCGGCAACCATTAACATGCACTGTTGGTCACAGTGGGTTCGTACCCCAACTAGAGGTGATAGTATACTCGATCTAATATTTAGTAGAGATATTATCCCACTTTCTGTAAAAGTATACGAAGAATTTGAAAGCAGTGACCATAAGACAGTAGTATGCGCTCTCCCTATATATCCCTCTTCTAACCGACCCATTCAAAAAACCTGTCAATATAGAGACTTTAAGCATGCCGACTGGGACCTCCTGCATTCACTGATTAAACTTTCAGACTGGGATAACTTTTTTTCATGTACTAATCTCATAGATACTATCGACGAATTCTATTTGATCGTTAACTCTTGTTTAGATTCTTCTGTACCTTTTAAAACGTACAGGTTTATTAAACCTAACGAATTATATATACCAGCTAAATATCGTAATAAACTAAGACGCCTACAGAATCGTTATTTCAAGTCAAACGACTTCACGGCAGCTGCGCAAATAACAATAATTTTTAATCAAATTAAAGAGACACATAGGTTAAAAGCCATTAATGAGGAGTTACTAGCACTTAATAGTAACTCAAAAGTACAAAACTTAACTCTACTTCTCAATAAACGCGCTAAAGTAACTCAAAATATTGATATACCATGCATCCAGCATAATAACACTTTTATATACGACTCTAAAACTAAGGCAGACCTTTTCAGTGGTACTTTTGCGAATGATGTAGGAACCACAAGTGGCTCTGCTTCAAGAGTTACGTGCGTGACTAGCAACTCCATAAAATCTATCTCCTTCACATGTAAGAAAATTAATATGGCTATAAATGCTCATAAGCTTTCGCGCGGTCATGGAGCAGACGGGATTCCATCCTTTCTTTACAAATATGGTGGTCCAGATATTCCACTTCTTCTTCTAAAGCTTTTTACTCTCTCTATGGAAACTGGTTCTTACCCTTACTGTTGGAAAATCGCGTACATCATTCCACGTTATAAATCTGGAGATAAGTCTGACATGAACAATTATCGGCCAATAAATATTACTCCAGTAATCTCTAGAATTATGGAGAAAATTGTAAGTGATGAACTTTCCAACTATTTACTCGCTGGAAACTTTATCAATGATACTCAACATGGATTTCTCAAAAATTGATCTTGCATGACATGTCATTTTGACTTCTTTAATTTAGGCTACTCTCTACGTAGCCAAGGATATCTAGTCTTAGTGCTATATCTGGACATTTCTAAGGCCTTTGACATGGTTAACCACCAATTTCTTATAGGCAAACTTGCATCTTATGGGGTTCAAAATCCTTTGCTAGATTGGATTGATTCATTTCTCAGCAATCGACATCAAATAGTTAAAATTAACTCTTCATTGTCTAACGCTGTCCCCGTTAGAAGTGGTGTAATACAAGGTAGTGTCTTAGGCATTTTGTTCTTTTTAGTGTTTATCAATGACATTTGTAAAAATTTTTGTGTAGGTAAGCCCCTTCTATATGCAGATGATCTTAAACTAGTATATTCATTTTCTCCACATGAGCTGGAAAATATGCAAACTTGCATTAACTTTGAACTTAACAAGGTAGCACAGTGGTGCTTAAAATGGCAACTGGAACTTAATACGGCTAAATGTGGATGGATATGCTTCGGCGATACATCACTTAACCTAGACCTTACCATAAATGGAGAAATGTTATCTAGGTTATATACAGTAGTAGACTTAGGACTTAGATACTCTCAAGACTTATCGCTTACAGAACAGATATCGAAACAGACCTACAAGTCACAACGACTACTAGGTTACATAATTCGAAACCTTCATAACAATGAATCACGAATTTTAATGTACAAAGTTTGTGTTCGACCTCTTCTAGAATATTGCACGTTTATTCTTAGCAGTGCGCGCATAAAGGATAAATTAAGGTTGGAATCAGTACAGAGACGATTTACACTTCGTATTCTTGGAGCTGATTGTTCCTTAACTTATAATTCTAGATGTAAAAAACTAGAGCTAGACCCTTTATGGAAGAGGAGAGTCAAACTAAATCTTATTTTTTTCTTCAAACTACTTAATAAACTATCCTTTACATCCAATCATGTAATTCAATATGCAGAGACTCCTCATTATGAAACCCGTAATTCCTTGGCACTTGTGAAACAAACTTATTCTAAATCATCTCTTTATATGAATTACTTTGCCTGTAAATTTTCTAGACTCTGGAATAACCTACCAGAACATATCCGTACGATAAAATCACTCCGATTATTTGTACGTTGCATCGATGCATACTGCTCCTCTGAAAATGCATTGAATGCTCTAGCACCTGCAAGTGTATCTCACTCCACAAGTGTTATTATAGGAACTTTAAATGTTTAGGCATTTTTATTAGTGCATTCTCTGGATAAAACCACCAACTTGCTGTCACTTCATGTTAATACCGTCTCCAGCTAGTTTAACTAATTTGAATATCATCAACAGTATATCAATGTCACATGACATACGCATTTTGATAGATCTGATTGACATATTTCGGCAATTACTGCTTTGTTGTTCCGTGCTCTCTGTTTTCGTTTTAATTTCTCTAGTTGTGGATATTTATCATTAAATCGATCTGGCACACGAAATGACCTTAATTACACCTTTCATAAATCAACAGGCTGTCCAGTTAAGAAATATTACATGTTCCCGGCTGATGCATTGGATCGCTGTAATACCTAAACAATTACTGAACCAGTAAACTTAAAACTCCTATCACATGTTTGTTCTGTACATATTATTATATTATTTATATCAAATTGATCATGTTTGTAAACTGGCGTGAATTCTGTAATTATCATTTATTCAGAATATAAAATTATTATATGGAAAGCTAAAATATCAGCCATTCAGGAATGCGCCGCTAAGACAGATTGTTTTGTAGATACTATCTTATCAGTTGAAGAAGCATGGTCTGTATTTAAAAGCAAGTTTAGTTTGGTTACATCCTCGTTCATACCATACCTGGTACCGCGAAGACCGAATAATAGTCCACCATGGATAACTAAACCAGTTACTTGGCTTCTTAGAAGTAGGAAGAAGCACTGGAATATGTTCATCTGCAGTGGCTTAGAACAATACCGATTCAGTTATTGCAAGACTAGGAATGCCTGTAAAGCTTAAATAAGTAAGACTAGACGATCATACGAAAAACAATTGGTTAAGGATTCTAGATATGGTCCAAAACGTATATAAAAAGGCGAACTCAGAGAAGTGATAGAATTCCATCACTTTTGATTCAAGGAAATCCGTTAGTCTTGGCAGAAAATGATACCGAAAAGGCTGAAGCTTTATCAAAATATTTCAGTAAAGTGTTTTCTATCACTAATGAGGAACAACCAACGATTCATTATGATCGTGACGGCTCACTGATGGATCCTGTGGTCATTGAGAAAGGTACTGTTTTAAGGCTACTTCAGCATATCAAACCTGATAAGTCCAGTGGTCCTGATGATTTTCATCCTAGGGCTACGAAAGCCATATCAGATGTAATCGCTGAACCATTAGCGATACTGTTTGACATGTCTCTGAAGTAGTCCAGACTGCCCAGAGACTGGAAAGACGCTATAATAAGTCCGGTGTATAAGGCTTGGAGAAGGGATTTAGTTAGTAACTATAGACCCGTTAGCTTAACGAGTGCAGTTGTAAAACTGATGGAAAATATCATTCGGATATCTGTTATAAACTATGTTGAAAGGCACAATCTTTTCTCCAGGGAACAACTAGTTTTCGGAGAGGCCTGTCGTGCTTCACAAATCTTCTCGTTGCAAGAGAAGATTGGGCTGCTGCAAAAGATCAGAATATTCCTGTAGATGTGATCTTCATAGATCTAAGTAAGGCTTTCGATAAGGACTCCCGTTCTGGT